GCAGGTGCAGTACATCCCCCAACTCAGATTTGAAAAAAAATCAGTGGATAGCTGTTTTCTGGGTGGTCGGCAGACCGTCGACCGGTCGACCCTACTGGTCGGCTGCAAAACGGTCGGCGGTCGGCAGGTATGCGACCCTGGTTCAATGGTCAAAACTTCAGAATGGCGGTCTGAACGGTGAATAGGGTTGTCTTTTCATCACCTGCCACTTCATGTGTCCCTATTTGTGAGCCATATAAGGGACGCCTGAATCTACTTCTTAATTGGTAATGGTCAGTCCTTATGAAATCTGAATGGGGAAGAGGGACTGCAACTCGATAGAATTCACACCAGTCGACTGTATGACGGGAAACTGTTACGCACTGTTCGGAGGGCAGAGACTCACCTCTGAACCCTACCCATTTTAGGTTATGCTTTAACTAAAGCTATTGCTTTATTTGCCTTAATGATGGCTTTCTTAGTTTTATGGGCGACCGCGACACTAGAAGAAGAAAGAGAAGGCATGATATAATCAGCATCATCTCCTTCCTCTTGCCATCGTCATCAACTCCCATTCCTCTCCTCATGGTTGCTCAACTAGCTATGGCTCTTCATTCATTTCTTTCCCATTTCTCTCTGCCATAGCCACACTCGCAAATGAAGCCGTGCCCAACCAGTACCTCGGCAGGTGCCTTCCCAATGTAACGCCAACAAACGAAGTGGAGATGAAGGTCCACCATAACCAAAGCCAATTCTCTCTCGTCTGTTATATCCTTCTTCATCTACGTTACTTTTCCTTTCCACTACCTCCATAGCTGAGCTTGCGGTCCTTCTCCCTAGGCCTTCTCGTAGAGTGCATCCATGTGGGTCTTCTTCATCAGCCTGAGCTCGTTCCTTCACCCAGCATCACCTCACTCTGTAGCATGAGTGCCGCGTGAATGTGTGGACTACTGATTGCGCTGAATGTGATACTCTTGTTTAACCAGCCCCTGGTCTCTTCTACCCAGGTGATTTAACCTCCGGTCATGATCGCTGCATGTGGACAGAAAGTTATGCCAAATACAGCTATAACAACTGGGCGTTCTATTCGGGTGAAATCGGTCGGCCTGAAGGGTGTCCTTGCACTGTGGCAGGAAGTTCATTACAGTCTGTAATTCACCTGCAGTCCTGTATTTAGTTCTACTTGTAGCTACATCAGGGCGCATGGTATCATCATGACCTACCTGCAAGATGCCAGACTCTAGGGCTTTTCCAAGTTACTGGAGAATTCCCACTGGGTCCCTATCAGATCCTAATCTTGTCTCTAATTATGCTGAACTTTTCATCAATCGTCCAAAGTTCAGGCCTACTGGTGTAACTGTTCCTATGTACTGTTGCACTCCCAGGACACCAAAGCACACTATCTTTCTGGTAACCGTGCGGGACATGGTTTGGGGGTGGTGGCTAATGGAAAGGCTGTCCTTGTAGTTGACTCGCAGGTCCATAGAATGCAAATGACAAGCATGTGCGTGGGTGTCTGGATGCTAAGGAAAGGTTTGAGCTTTGCGGATTGGAAAGGAAGTGCAGAGTGAATGCTACCCTATATGTTGGATTGCCCGTGTGAGGTGAAAGTGTTTGAAAAGCATATGTATTATGCACCAGGCAAATGCGATTATGGCCTTTCTTATATCCGCTGCTTTGAAGGGTTGACGGCCCCAGCTTCTGTGCATTGGTTTGGTGTTGGAGACATTCCATGACACTCTTCTTCGCCTGAGCTTCACCCTCAGCCTTGCCATTGATTTTCGATTTGCAGAAGTTAGCCAGGATCATTGTACAACAAGTATTTGTTGAATTTCAAAGGTCCATCGATGGTTTCAATTTTTTGCAAGGGCCTGAAGTGACAATGAACAGGGAATCAAGAAGGGGTGACGGCTAGCGGGACTCGAACCCACAAGCCACGAAGCGCCGCCACACTGTTAAGAGGATGATGACAATCACAATGAGGACATCGGAAGCCTAGGCCTCATTGGAACCATCGCCAGCTGACCCATCCAAATCAGAGAACCTGGAAAACGTCAGTCCAAGAAACAGTCCTCCCCCCCGAGCGTCTTAGATTTGATTGGCATCCAGACAACTGCCTTCGGCAGGCATGAGCGTCCCTTCTTGACAGTGCTAGACACATGGATTGGTAACCTAGAGCTCCTTTTTGTTTTGAAGTGATTTTTCCTTCTCAGCGAGAAATTCTGTTGTTGGTGAAGATAGTTATGCTTTCGTGGTGGTTCATCAGAGGTACTGATGAAGTGGAAATGTTGTTGCTCCTCTTCCATTCTGTGATCGTGGACAGTGGCAATGCCCAATCTGCATGAGGAATGCGTCCATTGAGAGTCTCATAATTGATCCATTTTTCTCTAAAGTCATTAATGCGGTACGTATCCCTTGTCGCCACATTTTCTTTCCTCGAGGTTTTGACTGAATGTGATTGGTCCTAACGACTCCATACGATTGCACCTTTGTGAAGGACTTGACCTAAAGAATCATGCCAGAATCTACAGTGCATTCTTAAACTCGGGATCTTTGGGATGCATCTAATCGTATCATTAAGCTTACTGGCTGCCGGCCCCCGCATTGACCCCGACTGATGCTTTCTGGCCGTCTAATTTGGAGCTGGCTGGCCTTGGTTTGTGTCGAACTTTCACCGCACCTGTATGGCTGCCACACCTTCAATGTGGCTATCAGAATCCACGAATGTAAAACGTCCGATCTACATTCCCTGTCACAGCGAAACTTTTCTTGGGCGCCTGATATATCAGTGATTTCGGTGGTTGGATGAAAAACAGAACAGAATCGCAAATTGTGTGTCAGAAGGTGTGGCCTTTTCCTTTGTTTTGTCTCGTTTTGTTGTTCTTTCTCCTCACGTAGTTTGTTTTTTTTCTCGTTTTGGGCTCGCGAAAACACAACCGGCCAACGGGCCTTAGCTCAGTCGGTACACTTATGGTCTGTTGAAATACAGAGCTGCGCTCGAATCCATGCCTAAATACGTGAATTGCCCGGGGCTGGTTTGTTCAATGACGATATCTTAATGCTGTCACCCTTCCTCAAACAAAAAGGAGGACAAAAACAGCCGGTGGGCACATTAGTGCCCATGTTTTTTGAATCTTCTGGTGGGCGTATGGTGAGGCCCATACATGTACAGACACCCTCACATACCACACCATCACAACATGGATAGGGCCTCGCTCCACAAGTCACCAAATGTGCAAAATGAGAACGAGTCTTCCGGTTGAACATTGAATGATGCATTGCCGTGTTTTTTATTTTTCGTGCATGTCTGGAGCGGTGGGCTGAGGCCCACATTCATGCACACACACACACACACACACACACACACACACGCACCGCCAGTTGCCACAACCTCAGGCAGTGTCTGCCAGGATACGACTATGCCACGGCCAGCCTGCGTGCGTCGCCCACACACACACACACACACACACAGAGAGAGAGAGAGAGAGAGAGAGAGAGAGAGAGAGAGAGAGAGAGAGAGAGAGAGAGAGAGAGATGTGCACAGGCTAGGACAACAACAAAGGAGAGGAGGTTGAGAGAGCGAGAGAGCGCTCCTGCCGCCAACCACCCTGACTCCCTCCCTCACTCCCTCCACCTGATGTACTCTCGACCGTTGCCCTCCTTCGCCGCTCGCCCTCTCTCTTCCCCCCCCCCTCCTCCTTGCACCCTACCTACTGATTTCCGCACGCTGTCCAACCGACCTCTCCTACCAACTTTTCCGAAGCCGCCACTGGTGGTTGGTCGTGGGAGTTCTGTCTCCTCTCTCTATTCAGAGTGAGAGAGAGAGAGACGGGTGGTTGGTCGCGGGAGTTCTCTCTCTACTCAGAGGGAGAGAGAGAGAGAGAGAGAGAGAGAGAGAGAGAGAGAGAGAGAGAGAGAGAGAGAGAGAGAGAGAGAGAGAGAGAGAGAGAGAGAGAGA